TCAGAATTCTGACTTTTCCCCTTTTAAACTGAAATAAAATTTAAAAATGAGTTAACTTTTTTTCTTTTTCAGTGGCCCTAATGCTCTTCCGTACTTATGTCTCTCAGGATTGCATAATTTTCTAAACTACTGTCTCCCTTTGTCCCAAACAATGCTGGTGGAGAGGAGGGGGCTGTCCGTGAACGCCCCTCTCTTTACACAAAGAGCTGGATGCAAAACAAAAGCCGGAAGCTTCAATTTTCTTCCTTTGCTCCCCTCATCTGAATCCAGGAAGGTAATCAGGTTTTTTTTAAGTAGTAAAGAGCGCCTCTATGTGACCAGCTTCTCCTGAGAAGTTTTGGATCTGGAGAAGCGTCAGTAAAAAACATTCCTACCGAGGAAAAACTCAGCGTCTCATGGACGGCAGTTTACGCAGAGCGGACCTTCGGGTTGGCGCTGCCGTGTGCGCAGCTGAGGGGCTGCCGCCGCTTCCCAAGAGCCTGAGCGGGATCCTGAACTCCAGCGGCGGCTCTTGGAGGGACATGCAGAAGATGCACAGCAAGAGGAGCCGCATCCAAGCCGAGATCAGCTGCAGAGGAGGCGGAGAGGCGGCTGCAGCCAAGCCGGGTGGACTGGACGCTGCGCTGGCGCTCCTGCGCAAAGAGATGGTGAGGAAGGGAGACAGGATCTGCATTTAGAAACTTTACAGCTTAAATGTCATGATTTAGGCTACACCACTTCTTACCCAGTAAAATATTGTTTCCCTCTTTGAAACATGGTATTCTAAATAAAGATGCTGAAAAGATAAGCTGAGATAATTTATTTGTGCAGCACAAATACAATAAACACCTATTTAAACTGTTCCCTACCAAAATGGAGATTAAAAAAGTGAAATATTTAAACATCATTGCCTCCTTAACAGGCATGTGTTCTGTCATCCTCACCATTTGGCAAAGCAGTAGAGGCCTTGATGTCCTACATTTATTAATAAAACCTAGTCAACATTTTGGTTTTATGTGATTTTAAAAGGGAACTCCTAATATTTCTGTTTCATTATTTTATATACCATAGTCAAAGTACTTTTCCCAAAGTATTCTCCACTCTAACTTGTCCAAGTTGTTTTGGTGATGGATCAACTAAAGTAGACAGTCATTAGGAGGAATCTCTCCACCTTTGCACATCTGGAGTCTGAAATTTTCCCGCCAGTTATATTTATTTATTTATTATCTCAGGCAGAAAACAACATAAAAATAGAACATCTGTGAACATCCATGTCCAAGTCTTGCCACAGAAGGTGAAGTAGGTTTAGGTTTGGACTTAGAAAGTTCTAAATCATAAACATACTGAGATCTGCTCCATTACTTGTAGCTCTGACTGGAGTTTTTGCTTTCTCTGCTGGATAGTAACCTTTGCCTGCAGCCTTAAGTTGCCTGCTGCCTTTTTGCTTCTAGATCTATGTATCTTCCCTTAAACTTTGAAAACTCCTGCCCCAGAAGATCCCAGTTTTGCATATAAGCCACAAAAAAAGCTGTTTGAGTGCTGCTAACTACAAATGTAAGGTCGTTTTGCTTTATTAATACAGGTTTTCTTCTCCTTCTTCCATAAAGACACGTCTTATGTCCCATCTTAACTGTGGATCTCTGCAGAGTTCTTGTTTGGCCTGTCTGTTTAGGTGGATGGCCATTTGCATTGTCCTATGAAGGGTTAAACAGTGCTCTCTGTTAAGCTTCTCCAGCACTGTACCCATGATGCTGTTTGTTTACTTTAACAGCTCTCTGATGCCTTCCTGGACCTGCTTTTTCTTACATTGTTACATGGCAATCACTCTAACAGCTTTTATTTATGGGCATCGGAGTAAAGCAAATTATTTATATTCAAATGACTAGTAAAATAAGTAATTTGTGACAGTAAAGTAATAAAAGGTTTTACTTTCTGCTTCTCTGTTTAAGGTGGGACTACGTCAGCTTGACATGTCTCTGCTCTGCCAGCTGTGGTCTCTCCACGAGGCCATCCAAGAATGCAAGGGCGAAGCCTCGTTTACTGCTGATAATGGATTCTCTGAGGAGGACGAGGATGAGGATGAGCTAGAGGAGAAGGATGCGAATGAAGCAAACCATTCTTCTCAGTCTTATGACAGAAACACCTTTAATTTTCACTAGTAAAGAAAGACACATGGACCACTGTTTGGGACACTTTTATATTGACTTCCCACTATATCATCTCATGTTATTGCATGTTTGTACCTCCACATTATTCACAATATAGGAAAGCTTTCGGTGTCAGTTTGCAGAGTTAAAGCACCTAACAGTGGCCTTTACCTTCTCTCTAAAGACAGATTTGGATCAGCTGGTGTATATTTTGCTTGTTTCAACACATCCATCAAACCACAATTTTATAACCTGATGGATTTCCCCACCTTTTTAAGTATAACCTTGATATAGACTTTGATGCTGAATTTAATAAATTATATTTTTTTCTTTTGTAAGTAGTTTCTGTCTGGAAACTCTGGATATTTTTATATGGACATGTGAAATTTTTTAAAGAATACATTAAGGGTTATTAGTGTCTTTAAAAGGTTTATTCACTAAACCTGTGGGGAACGTTTAAAAAGTCAGACATGAATAAAACAACAAATCAACTACATTGTTTTAACTGCATCAATATTTGAATAGTAATTAATGTACAGTATAAACCAGGATAAAATATATCCTAGGAATGAAAGTACATGCTGGATAAAGGGATTCCCAAAAACCTTTCCGGAAAGCCCTGCCTTTGTACGGTGATCAATGGGAAAACTCCCACCACCCAAATTAAATTTAGAATAATCTTCTTTTAATAAACTGTAAATGATTAAGTTCAACATAGAGACCAGCCGAAGCTGCAATTAAATTATTCAAACTTTTAGCATACTATAGAAATCTGTATGATTTTGATAACTAAGCTCACACTGAGCCTGGTTCTGCTGGAGGTTTCTTCCTGTTAAAAGGGAGTTTTTCCTCTCCACTGTCGCTACAAGCATGCTGTGTGAGGGATTGTATTTGAGTCAATGAGTCGATGCAATCAACTGGTTTTCCTTAGATTGAAAACTTTGAATCAATTTGACTGGATGATCTGGTGAACTGTAGAGTGCGTTGAGATTACATGTGTTGGGAATTTGCGCTATATAAATAAACTGAATTGAAAATTTCAAAACAGGGAGAGATTTGAAAATCCTCTAAGCTTCTTTCTTAAATTCAACAATGTCATCCATAATTCTTAGGATATACTTAGGAATTTTCAACCTTTGTTTGGTAAAAAAGTAACAAGAACTTTTGTTGGAAGATGTTGGAAGATGTTGGAAAGCTTAAAGGTACGGTGGAGGATGTTCTTTTTCTAGGCTGATCATCTTAATAAGTGGTCCTCCTAACTGTCAATTATTCTGGTGATATGTTTATGTAAGGCCCTCCTACGTCCTCGTCTCCACTTTCACTTACCGGTGGTGAGTCTGACATAATGGAAAAACTGCAAATCTTCTTTTGGAAAGTAAGCTTGTATGAGCGAAACAAACAGCAACTTTTAAACAGAGCGTGCGCGAGGAGAAATGGGCTTGTGCACGCGTTTAATAGACATCCCTCTCTGGAGCGGATACAGCGGATATACCTTTAAAGAAAGGTAAGACCCTGGTTGCTTAAGGGTTGAAGTTTTGTTTTGATAATTTTTTTTTTTCTTTGGTGGGGGACACATCTCCCATTTCCCCTCTCTACCTAAAAATAGTTTCAACCCATTAGATTGTGATGACTTTACTTATCTACAGCGCTCTTCAGGAGACCTGTAGGCCTTTGCTAGGTCTTTCCAAACCTTTATCTTTCTGCTTTATGTTAACGTGTATGTATGCCTGAATTCACTGTGGTGCAGAGGAATAAATATCTCTTAACATTTAACTTTGGAAAACTGACAGATATGGACTGAGTGGAAGTTTAAATATCCATCCACCTCAATTAAAAAAAAAAATGACTCCCTTATCATGATGCAGCCAACAGTGTGTTTCAATCAGTGTTGTTTTTTTTAGTACTGATACTTCATTGTTGCCAGAGATACACTCTAGTATTGCTTTAGATGTGTTTTCAGCTAACACAAATTATTTTTCTTTAAATCATTTAGGGAGATTTGTAGATTTCTTCAGGCTTGGATAATTTCTTTAAAAAGAAATGTTTCTTTCTTAAAACACAATTCCTGATGTTTTCGTGAGATCAAAAGAGGATTTAACCCACATTTTTTTTAAGGCACAGAGTGCAGCATTCTTTCAATACCACATAAAAGATTATTTTCTTTTTTTTTTCCATCTTAGTTTCTTTTTTTTTTATTGAAAAATTAGGTATTTTAACAGGAGTGAGTAAACTTTGTGATCGATCTGTTTTAGATCAGAAACCTCACCATACAGCATATCTCGGTCTTGCTATGTAGATGCAGTGTATGCAGGAATCTAAAATAAGCAAAAAAAAATAGTATGCATATTCTGTCCAGCAGGAGGAACGCTGCAAAAGGGAGACCCGCTCTCTCTCTGTCTCTTTCTTCTATACCTTCAGTCATCCATATGCAGCTCTGGGGAGGTTTTCAAGACATAGTTTCCTGTTCCACATAGTTGGAAATGAACATATGCTATGGAGATCTCACAAATGACAGAAAACATCTCTGTCCCCTTCTGTCCAAAAGTGGCTGAACTAGAAATTTGAATGTTCCCAAATTTTGTCTATGTCATCCTGAGCGATGATTGTTTGAGTGTTTTTTATCAGCTCTATTCAAATAAGGACTTACAGCTGTCAGATGACTTTCTTCTTACAGTGTCAGCCCATAAGGAGAGAATGGGACTATTTAACTGTACTATAATGAAAAAAACTAAATTTAAAGCCATGTGTTTTGCAAAGGATTACACACTTGTCAAATATGTTTTTATTGACAAGTTTAGAAAAAAAGGTATAGACAGATATTTAAGCAGGTGGGAGCCAATGTTTTCAGGTTAATCAAGAGGTAAAGAAACTGTGTGGACTGCAAACACGTCAACAGCAGCTTGAACAACTACAACTTGACACACATTGATACAGAAATGGTTTCAAATGGAAGCAATCTTATATGATTCCCCAAATAGTTTGATAAACCAGCCTACGTTAATGAATAGTCAAAAAGAAAAGCAGGTAACACACTGTATGTTTATTAAAAACCCAGAATCTTGTTTTTACAGTAAAGCCACAAACTTTGTTGTATCAAATTTTATTTGTGACAGACCGACAGAAATTAAGAAGTTCATAATAATGCATAATGTTTAAAAATTCAGGGAATTAGTATTTGCACTTGCATCCTGCTTCAAATCTTTCAAAGTATGTCTCTGCCAATATTTATCTGAGCATAATCGATGAAAGTCAGAGTGAGTAAAGTGTTCATAAGCATTCAGGTTTAAATCTTCTAACACATTTTCAATTGTATTTCGGTTTGGATTTTCGTCAGAACCTTCCTCCAAATGTTTGCTGTTTTTTTTCCATCATGTCTCTAATTGCTTTCTTTTACCGTGCCTTTCAAAAAGCCAGATCTGATGACCAACAGTTGTCATCAACAGATTCTCCAACCTGAGCTTCAGATCCCTATAGCTGGTCCAGAGTAACCATTGGCCTCTTAGCTGTTTATTTGATCAGTTGTTGCTCTTTTTTTTTTTTTTTTTTTTTTTTTTTTTTTACAGATTATGCATTAAATCAATTTTAAATTTAAATCGAAATCTACATTTCCCTCCCCACAACTTTATCCCCTCAGGTGGGCTCATTGGCAGACGTGGGTAGTAATACCCACTTTACTACTTTTACACAACTTAAGTAAATGTACTTTTACACAATTACATTTACTTAAGTATACTTTTAGGGGTAGTTTTACAGCATTGTACTTTTCACTTTCACTAGAGCAAATATACTGTATGATAAAGAATCACCATTCTTACTTGAGTAAAATCTCTGACTAATCCATCCATTGTGAGTAACTTCTCTTAATGAAAACTAGCTCGTTTTAAACAAATATGCACCTTTGAGAGACAATTTCTNTGTACTTTTCACTTTCACTAGAGCAAATATATGATAAAGAATCACCATTCTTACTTGAGTAAAATCTCTGACTAATCCATCCATTGTGAGTAACTCGGTTTAAACAAATATGCACCTTTGAGAGACAATTTCTTTTTTTTTTTTTTTTTGTACTAAAGGCTTATGGGTTAAATATTATTTCCCATCTGCTGAGTCTTCCTTGCCTTTTGGAGGTGGAGTCAAAAAACAGTAACCTATTCTACTCTTTATTCAATTCAGTTCAGTCTATTTATATAGCTCCAATTCACAGCACATGTCATCTCAGGTCACTTTACAGTTCACCAGATTATACAGTCAAATTGATTCAAAGTTTTTTTATCTAAGGAAAACCAGTTAATTGCATTGACTCACTGACTCAAATGCAACCCCTCACACTAAGCATGCTTGTAGCGACAGTGGAGAGGAAAAACTCAATTTTAACAGGAAGAAATCTCCAGCAGAACTAGGCTCTGTGTGAGCGGCCATCTACTGAGGCCGACTGGGGTTCAAGGAGACAGAAGCAGAGATACTAAAAGCAGCAGTAAAAGGCGGCCCTGTCATGGAAACACACAGCCAGGCAGACAAGCTCCGAGCCAGCTCCCATGCCAGAGGATGAAGAGAGAACATCCAGCCAGTCACAGTTAGAGAAACAGGACAACACTGGAAAACAGGCCGATCTCCAACATCTATGAAAAAGGGTGTTGATGGCAGCAGCATGGCTGATATTTCTCTCTAGGATGGAGTCACAGCCAAACAATATTACCCACTGTTCTCTAAAAGTTTCCTGGTTTATAGTGAGATTAAATCACACACGTAAACTTTGTTTAATCAGTTAAGGTTGATTTTATTTGAGGCCATTAAAGTAACAGGGCCAAATTATTCAGATATTTCTTATGATTTTATTTCCAATTCCCAATTTTGCACAACTTTATATCATTCTGTCACAATAAAATAACTTGCGGATGTTGTGTTTTTGATTTGAGTCTCTATTTGTGTTTTCAACTCCAATAGATGTCAAATCATCATCATCATCATCATGTCAGGTGGGTTTTCATGGCTGGTCAAGGAGGGGACAGGACTAGAGACTCAGTGTAAAATTAGAGCCCCCCCTGAGTCATGAGAGATTTTTCCCCCCTGTTGCTGCTTCCCCACACTCCTCCATCCAGCTGCCTCTGTCCATAAATGATCCTCTGACTAAAAATACTCTGCTGCTCTCACTGAGGAAAATCCCTTTGCTTTGACCTCAGTTGAACACACACTTACTAAGTGAAACTGTTTTTCTACAGTGGAAACTATGCCTCTGGAGTTAAGAAAATGAACAAAGTTTTCCCAGGAACATTGCAGTGATGTAGCCAAAACTCAGGAAATGACTTAAGTCATAACTATGAGCCCAGATCCAAATCTTGGAAATAATTTATGAATGCAGGGTTTGACCCTTGCAGTCTGCAGACAAATAAGTATATGCAGGGTTAATTGTGTGAAATGAAGCTAGATAAGAGTGTTCCAGAGATACTGACAATCAAGTTCAAAGTCTGCATGCATGAGAGACTAAGGACTTTGCATAGCCTATTGCTGAATCTACATAGACTCGCTTTGCATATCCTCTCTTATTTTTCTCTGTCTGTGGCTGTTTGGCAGAAAAAGGGAGGGTTGACTGAGTCAAGAGGAAGCAGATCTGTGTTACAACAACTTAGAGTTAAGTAAGCTGCGCTGCCTCCATGTGGGTTACAGCAGAGACAAGCTGTCAATAAGAGCTTCTGCAGTTTTTCATTTGAAATCCTCTAAAGTCTGAGGGAATCATTTGGTTTCTACTTTTCTGCTCCTGTCAGTTTAGTTTTTTTTATTTTTTATTCATGACTAAGTTTACATCAGGTTACCGTGTTTAGACAGTGGTGCAGTTGGAGGCATTGCAAATGAGCGCAAGTCGCAGCTTGTGCGAGTTTCATCAGCGGCGGATGAAGAGGAGACAAACCCTCCTCTAAAGACCAGAACTCAGCGGATAAAAGTTGGATTATTCACCTCTTCCTGGGTGTGGACGTTGATTTAATTTGATTTTTACCGACTTAGGCGATGACTTCGGTGTGGAAACGACTACAGCGAGTGGGTAAAAAAGCTTCAAAGTTCCAGTTTATCGCTTCTTATCAGGAACTTGTGTTGGAGTGCACTAAGAAATGGTGAGTAACGTCGGTTTATCTGCGTCATGTTAACGTGTTTTCTGTTTGACTTGTATACACTCTATCCTGCTAGCGGGTTGTGTGTGTTATTATCTATAATAAGTCTCCGTTATAGCCGTGATCACCCTTATGTTGGTAGACTTTCCGCTACACAGAGACAGATGAGGGCGCTCCGCCCGAAGGCTCATGCCAATGGTTGTGGGTTCGATCCCCGGCGCAGCCTTCACTGATAGCTGCGGTCATTAAATGTTTTTATCTTTAAAGGCAAAAGTCCGACACACCCATGTCTATGATTGATCCCATGAATTAGCTTCAAGAGGATCAGGTCCTATTGGACATCATACTCATCTCTGTTTTAAAAGTATTTACCGCTTTAAAAAATATTAACACAAACTGCTGGGTAAAAAATGTACTTAAATTTTTACTCAGGTCCATTTTACACGAAAATGATCTTTTGAGAACGGAACTTGTTTCTGGTTTCATTAATATTTAAAAAAATTAAAATTTTTCGTCTGTTTACATGGCAACAGCAGACATTTTAAAAAGGTGTCATTCTCACCCCTCGCCACTAGGTATGCTGTGTCTTTAAAACTAAACATGCACATGTGTACTGGCTTAAATTTATGAATGTTTGAGATTCTAAAGAGTTAAGTTTTCTATGGACAGACGATTGTGTTCACATGTTTCTTTTATGGCTATGAATGATAGCAAATCAATGACAAGCTGTGATTTCTTTCAGATGAGTCAGCATTCTTCTTCTGTGGTTTCTAAAATTGTAGACAGCCATATTGTTTTGCAAGTTTAACTTTACTTATTTATTAGAGAAAATAAATGTCTTTGCCTATAACCAAAGCGGAATTTGTTATGCTAATAGGTCCTTTAACCATAGCTTTTTAAAACCTTCTAAAGATTGTTATAAACTTTGCTTTAGACTAGCATGAGTTAAGCTGTTTAAAATAACTTTAGATTTAACGGAAATAACTGGTAATTTACTAGACTAATATCACTTATGCATAAGTCATTCATAAAACACATATTCACAAAATTATGAACTTATTTCCCTCTTATAAATTCCACCTATTCTATATTTTTTAATTGAGAGAAGAGTGGAACCAAAGTCAAATTCCTTAATTTAACAAACTTTTCAAATAATGCTAATTCAGATTCTTCTAACGAATTATTAGGCTTTTCAACACTTCAACAGGTATTTAATAAAACTAACACTGATATTCTTTTGACTCTTGCAGGTATCTTTGTTAGCATGCCTGTATACACAGTGTACAATATGCTAGCTCACTGTTAATTGGATTTAGTCAACAATCATATTTCGATTGTTTAGTCAAACCAAAGATTTTTTTCAAGAATAGACTGCTGGATGTATATAAAAAGATATACATATTTCTTGATGTAACAACTTGGGCAATAATGGGAGGATTACTTTAACAGGCTTTCACTTTTATGTTAAATCTGCTTGAATGGGAAATTTTGTCTAACATAACCATTTAAAAGACCAATCTGAAACCAATCCGAGGGCTGGGTTAATTTAGCTCAACATGGTTTTTAACAGGTGAGGTTTTCAATCCAAGACACTGGTAGAAAAATAAACAGACAACCTTAACATCTAAGGGCAGTTTAAAGAATAAATGGACTAAACTTTGGCACTTCCTAATCACTATACCTACACCACTATATTTCAGTATATATCAGCCAAACAAACACTGTACAGTTAATTCCTTGAGAGTTATTGAAATTCAAAACTGAGTCATAATAATCAAGAACAAAGCATTTATTAAGTAACTCATTAGGTTTATTGATCCTGTATACTATATAATTTCCTCACAACCATCTGGGAATGTCTTCAAAATAGGGAAGACATTGAGGGTTGATAGAAAAGATATTCCATTTATGTGGGGGGAAAAAAATCCTTGTTGATATCAGAGTTTAGAAAATGAGCAGATTGGAACAAGATTGTGAAAGGCAATATTTTCCCAAAGAGCCACTCCTTACAGCCAAGGTATGCAGGATATCTCTATCAATACACAGCATGCCAAACCTTGAAGGGCTAAAGCAGCAGGAGACCCCACTAATGTCCCCTTTGGTTTCCTGTTCTTTGCTGGGCTGTAATTTACACACTGAACACAACTGTAAATAAAAACATTGCCTTGAGCTGAGTAACAATTTCAGCCACCTCATTCAAAACTCAGTATCAGAATTTGGAATAAACATTAAGAAAACATGGATCAATCATTCCCTGTTACAACACCAGCTGCAATGATGTGGTGGATGTTTTCTTGGGATTTTTTTGGCTCCTTAGTTACCAGTTAAGCATCTATAAAACCCCTCAACCTGCCTGAGCGTTGTTCCTGACCATGTCCATCCCTTTAGTGATGATCATTTAGTGATGATCTCTTAATTATCCCATCTACTTCCATCCTGATAATAGACCACGTTACCAAAGTTAGACAGATTATGCTTTATTTCTCTGAACATGCTAATGAGTAACTGCCTCCACAGTCACTAGATCTAAAGCCACTAGAACACATAGAGGGTGTAATAGTACAACTGACCTGCATCAACTGACAGTAATGCTTTCACCCCATAATGGGGCAAATTCTCTCAGTCCTACTCTTTGTTGGAGGGATACCACCAAGAAGTAAGGCATCCTAGAAGCAAAAACAGACTCAACCTGATAGTAGTATTAAATTACTACACGTATCTAGTCATACCTTGTGACGGTTCAGAACAGATGGACCCAAAATTCAGGCAAGACAGACAGTGATATTATTAAAAAAGCGTTTATTAAAACTACGAGCTGCGGATATGCAGTAGCAGTGGATAGGGTGTCTGAGGCAGGAAACTCTGTTCAGTCCAAGCCCAGAGAATGATAAAGGATCCAGCCGGTGGGCTGCCATCAAGATGCGGCGAGGGCCGCCCAGAGTGTCCCAGATGCTGAAGCCCCAGAGAAGAAGCAGGAGTCCGAGAACAGCTCAAACAAACAGATCAGAAAAGGAACAGGCAGACTTAGATTTCAGGGAGTCTGAAGCCAGGTCAGGTAAACAGATCAGAACAGGAACAGGCAGGCTCACTGGTCTAGAGGGAAAACAGGTCAGGATCAGGGGATCAGAAACACAAGGTTCACTAAAAACACTCCACCACTGGCTAGAGAGAACAAGATAATCTGTCCCTGATGACTGGATGCAGGCACCTTCAATATAGGCAGGGGCAGGTGGATCAGATGAGCAGTGATGAGAAACCGGGCAGAGTTGGACAGGTGAATGGAATGGTTAATTAAGCCAGTCATCACTGCCAAGATCATGACATACCTACTATTCAAAGTCTTTTTGCATTTGTGTTAATAGCGTAGAGGTTGACTTAAACCTTACTGATGTATCCTTGTCCATCAGATCCACAGTGTGCAATCAACACTTTGCAGCTCATTTTAAAATTGTTTAAACATTGCAGCTATGTAATGAACAATTTCATTCTTCTCTAACTTATCAGACATCAGTCATAATTTCTCATGCAGGGTTTAGTAAGAACAACCTGCCTTTTTTTCAACAACATAAACTCAGCATCTGTGTTAGAAAATAAACTGATGGCTTAAAGCCTATGATTTTATCTCTGTAGGATGTTTAGCTTATTTTCATATGGGAATGATGTGAAGCCCAATTTTTCTACTTTTTATTTCATCCCAGAGATTATTTTTATTATAGTCAAGCTCTTTGTGCTTTTGGGAAGGTTTCCTACTATACAAAACTGTTGGCAGCTGAGGCACAAAGGACTAACTGGCTCTGACATAAATATCAAAGTGAACTAATTATAGCAGTGCACTTAATACTTATTTGCCTCTGATTAGGACAGACACTTATCTTTATAGATTACATGAGTGGTAATATCCCAATCAGGGAATAATTTAATAAAGATCAGAACTCTATAATGGATTATTAATAAACAATGACACAAGAAACTTTGAGGATACTTGCTCAGTCCTGCACAAGTATTTATTTCTCTTGTATTTTGTTACAGCTTCTGAAGTAATAATAAAATTTATTGTATTTCATTGTGATTGTCTTCACAAAGTCAACCACCACAATTGTGATGATGTACTATAGAGCTAAAAGGTGCACTATTCAAAATAAGTCAAACTTTTATGATTATAGAGTTATACAGGGCCTGGAGTTGTACAGCAGTGGGTAGCACTGCTTCTTGCAGCAAGAAGGTTCCGGATTCGATTCCCGGCCCCGGGGTCTTTCTGCATGGAGTTTGCATGCTCTCTCTTAGCATGCATGAGTTCTCTCTGGGTACTACAGCTTCCTCCCACGGTCCAAAAACATAACTGTTAGGTTAATTGGCTTCTCTAAATTCTCTATAGGTGATAGACACCAGCACCCCTCGAGACCCTGTTTGGGATAATCATGAAGGGAAATGGATGGAAAGGACCTTTAAATCTGAAAACTGCAACGCTCAGTTTTATTCAGGACTGTTTAATCAGGCCCTTCTAACTCATGCAGTCATGCTTTAACCATAGGATTGTAGCTCTACCTGGAGTTTAATGGTCCATGATCAGTTGGAAGGGGAGCCTGTTCAACAGTTTCAATTCAAGATCTTAGATTTCTTTTCTGGCAAGTCAGATATGAAGCAGGCAGAGAGAGAACTGACAAGATCAGGAGTTAAACCTCAGACTTCCCTACAGAGGACCAACAGTTCCTGCATATATCGGGCTCCTGTACCACTGCTGTTTCCTGCCCCACCCTAGTCAAGTCTTCTAAAGACTCCGACTAGTTTTCTTCCTGACAGCCTTGTAACTAGCTCCGTCTTTGTTGCTTTTAACTTTGACCTTCTTCCCTATTCGTGACAGAAAAAAAAAATCCTTATCATGATGCGGCCACCACTGTGTTTGGCTGCTTCTCTGAATAATACTGTCCTTTGCTTTTTAGGTTGCACATTATATGATGAAGCAGTGCTTCATTAGATTTTCAAAGCTGCTGATATTGTATTGTATATTATATTTTACAGATACCCTACTTTAAACTTGATTTGTTAACTGTGCTATTTTATAACTGATGTCTTCTAAAAATATCTATTAATGCCGATAATAAATTAAAAGCAGGTGAAATCTGAGTACTAAATAGGTAACCTCACAACAAAACTGGTTGCTTGTTATTTTTAGAGTTATAAAAGTGTATCTGTTTCTAATTAGAGACAACAGTGCATGTGGTTATAAAGTGCCCAAATATTAAAAAAAAAATGTCATGGGGTACAAGGAAATTTGCAAGTCGTGTGTATTAGGTATTAAAAAAAACAAAAACCTAGTTTTGAAATAGTCATGTGTACTTCCAAATGTGCAAAGGTTTCAGACACCTTGAATATTGCATCATTAATCAAGTGCAGGAAGTGACATAACACAGTGGGCCATGTGGGGGATGCCTAAAAGCTTTCTCTTGGTGAATACATACTAATATTGCTCTATGTACTTGGATGGTAGTCTTTGTGTTTTTTTATGTCAGATGATATACAACTGCTCCTCCACTGACTCATGTTTTTGTAAAGAGATTTTGAAAGCTGAAAAAAGAAAGAGGAGACAATAAGAAAACATATTAGAACTGATTGCAGCATTAGTCTGCGTGCTGGTAAAGGTGTAAACAAGCAAGCATTTCTACCACCAGTCAACAGATCTTAAATGAAGTTTAACTAAAGATATGGCAACCAACCAAACAAAGGTCTTGAGAAACACAAATAAAGAAACAGGCAGTAATCTTCTGAGTGGTCATCTCAGTAATAAAATATTACTAAATTTAATTTCAGCATGATTGCCAGGAAACCTCAGCCTAATCTATCTATGATTTCATTTCTCTCACTGTCATGTCATGTCTTTGAGTCCCCTTCTATTTTCTTTCACCAATACCCCCCACTCTGGGCCTCCCCAGATTATTTCCAAAGCCAACACTGGCTCACTAACACATATGCTACATAAACCTGTGTGTACACTGAGCACTCTTAGCTTTACTTAAACGCTCGTACACAAATGGTAAGACATAATAAAGCAGTAAACATCACTGAGCCATAAGCCCAATGTAGGTTGAATTATTTTACTGAACTGCCAGTGAGTTTTAGAGAGTTTACTGATTATTGTGTTTCAATGTTAGATGATTAGACATCCGCACAAGTGCAGTGGGGGGTTCCTTCTTCCTGTAATGAGGCACAGTTCTCTCTATTGTCACGTGACTGGGCGACTTCCTTTCTCGCTTCCTGCACCAGGGAGAGCACATGATGAGATGTTAGAAACACTGACGTCTAGAAGAATGCATAGCCTGTTCAGTCTAATAACAGCTGAGCAGCTGCTTGGGTTATAAATACTGATAGACAAATTGAACTTGTCGCCATGTGTTCACCACCATCTGCATAGGGACACACTCTCATATCACTAGCATTTTCTTTTCTTTGACTCACAGGCAGTGAGACTTAGCAGTGACAGTCATAAGACTTGTATTGAACCCAGTGGTATTTATTTTAGCATGAAGTCCACTTTGTTTAGATAATCTGAATTCCTTGTAAATTTTTTCCCACATCCCTGTTTTGGTCTTGTTTACCCTGCCTTTAAGCAGAGTGTGTAATAGGGGTAATTACTGAGTAATAACATTAGGCAATGTCTTATTTCCGTGTGTTTTTTGTGTTTCTAAAGGCAACCAGACAAGCTGAGAGTGGTGTGGACCAGGAGGAACAGGCGCATGTGCTCCAAGGTACAGCTAAGAAGCAGTGAACACACAGAGTCATTCACATGTTTGTATTCTCAGACGGATTCTCCTTTTAGAATAAAAAATAAAAGCTTAGCCTAAATCCTAACTTCAGTGTACCAGTAAACACATTTACAGCCAGTGAGACACCTATGTAAGTCAACAGTAGCACTTTTTTTTGTGCTACTGTCAGTTTAAAATCCCTTAAAAAAACATTTTTTTTTTTTTTGCATCATAGATACGAATTTATGTGTAAAAAAAGCAAACAAGATTTGTATTTACTTCCATCTTAAACAGCTACCCTTGCAAACTGAAAGCAAACTGAAAGCAAACCTCTTAATTGAGGTTCTTCTTTTTTAAACAGCTATTTCCCTGAATCTTTTAATACAGATGTGTGTACCGCAGAGCTAGTAGAGAAATATTTGATAACTGAGATCATTAAATCAAATTTAAAAGGATAATGAGCAAGAATGTTTGCCTTCTAGCAGTAAAATGGAGGCATTTCTCTGAAACAAACACTAAACCCAAGCACATAATGGCCATAAAGGTGTATTGCGAAAATGGTTGCCATCAGATAGCAAAAACAATGCAGGTGTAAATGTCATTTAAAGTAAAGTGAAGTCTCTACAAGCTGGTATTTAGAGTACTGCGTTCACCACAGCTTTGAAAGCTAGTAAATTCATGGAAATCTCCAATTTTGTACCAATGAAATTGGTATATGTTTGATGAATCTACTCTAATGTTTCTATGGTAATGAGAAACATGAGGATGGTGAAACCAATTTTTGTGCTGCTACTGCATATGCATGTCTTGTATGTGCTGCAGTAGTGCAGATGCTCATTTTTGGGTCAACGTCTCCAACGTGTCTTCACCTAGCCTCCCAATCACACTTAATTACCAGCGAGGTGAAATGCATGTAATGATATGTTCACACCAATTGCAATCTCAGCAGCAAAAAGGCGCCTGCTTCTTCATTTTTGATGCTTGTACACATTAAGGTCAGACTCCAGTAAAGTTTGTCCAGATGCGTCTGATGCTTCTGCTGCTCTTGGGTTCAATGGCAGAGATTGACTTTGCTATATTTGCTGTGATAAGTGCAATGGTGTAACGACGCAACAATAGGCCCGTAAGCAACATTATCTGGGTGGGCCCCATAGGAAGTACAACACGTGATAAAGGTTCAGGATAGGGTGACAGTTCCATAAATTGCCCAAGAAGATACAATTATGCAATTCTCAGTAGTATATGATCACACATTAAACACAGAAAAATAGTGACTGCGCACCTCGAATGGAACCATTGGTGACAGGTCACCACCACATGTTACAGACATCCCAAGTGCTTATGGCTCTCCCTCTTCGGTTCTTTGAAAGTTGGTACGTTTTTACCGTTGTTCCAGCAGCTCTTCTTTCCTTTTTCTTTTCTGGAATCCGCTTAAGTACCTCTTTTGGGTAACCATCGTCACTAACACATTGTACGTAGTGGTTATGGTTTTATTCTAGGCTCTGGGTTACCCATTATTCCAAGTCGTAGTTTAAAAAATAAAATAGTCAAATACATTTTTTTAGAGATCTTTATTGGAGTTTGAAACATATTATTTTAGTTTATTTTTTTAACCAACCGACTAATGAACTATACACAGTTGTTAACATAGTAACTATAGTTACTATTGGTGTCGTGTTTAAACGGCTGACCATCACCGAAATCTGGCATGTGTTGCGTTATAAATACGGTCAGGTGCGGTCAGTCATTTCAGTATCAGGTGGGTTTAAGAGGAATTTTTCGCACCATTACATCTGTAGAGTATACAATTGAATAGGGAACCCGCCAGGTTTCAGTGCTGGGGCCCCAAAGAGGTTGTGGGCCCGTAAGCAACTGCTGTCGCTGCTTACCAATATTTACGCCATTGGATAAGTGGGTAAAAAATATTTTTTATATGTTTTTAAGTAAGAATGTCCACCTGAAAACATCGTCTGTGCAGTCAGATTCATCATTATCATGATCCTATCTTGAAACATTATTTTGCTGCCGCAAAGACCCCATCATTTTGGCAATGCTCTGTCCTTGGGAATCCCCAGCAGTAGCTCCCTCAGACCCAGTCCCCTCTTGGGGATTTCCCCTGACTTTTTGTGGCAGTGGCAATTAGATGTTAGCATTTTTCAGGTATGTTGTACAAAATGCAGGCACCAGGATAATAAAATCGATCATATTTTGCAAGCAGGTTTCGACATCTTATGTTAACTTAGGTGTTAATGAACTGTCAGGGGAGTGATCATAGCTATCTGCATTAGCAGTCCTGTGTCTGTCTCCCTGCCAGCTCCCAGATCAGGTTCTCTGATTGGTTGCTGTGGTATGTGAAGCACATGTTAATTGTTTCCAACTCCAGCAGCTGCTTGTGATGCACGTGATGCGCCTCAGATGCCCAGAAGCTCGTGAGGCGCTGCTTCAGCTGCTCCGATGCGTCTTTATGCGCATCAACAATAGACTTTGCTTGTAAATCCGCTGCTTGAGTCACGTCTGATGTGAACGTAACATTATTCAATGTGTTTGTACCATTTTATCCCTTGTCATTGTCTGTACTTTCAGGATGGCTTACTCTCATGGCTCTTAGCAGACGGGTGACACGTCTTATGTGTAAACTAATAATAAACTCCTCGCTTATGAAATGTGTTTTATCATTAGTGAAAGTAAAAGTAAACTAATAATAATAACATATGTAAATGCAGTCATCAATTTCAGGAAGTAAAAAAAAGAACAAATTTAAGCTGATAATTGAAGTCAATATATCATTAAAGCAGCCGAGAGGGAGCTAAAATCTGCAAGCTCAGCACATGTGAAATGCAAACATTTAGAAGGTCTTAGACCGGTGGTATAAAAATATTGTTTATCAATTGAAATCTGATTATTTACATAACTGGTAAACCCAGTCAACTAAACCAGCAGCTTACTGACTGCTTCTGCACAAGTTGCAGTTGGTAAACTCAATGCTACGTTTCTATGTACAGTACGTTTTTCTCCAAAGCATGTCCATGACTTCTAAAAATGTTTATGGTTCTTATTTGAAGAATTTAAAAAGGTGGTTCTTATGATGTCCTTTTTTTTTGTCCATAAGTTTTTTTTAATTTCCTTCTATTAATATTATATATGTGCCTTCTGAGCTGCAAATCTCAACATTTCATTATGGTTACATAATCACAATAAAGACTCTTCGACCTTGCTTCTGAAACCTATAGCCTGATGCTATGGAGCATATCTTGGGTAAAACCATAATAATTAATGGAAACAGTGATGACTGCAACTCCCTCTGCCATTTAAGCAGTTGCTTAGATTCCTTGGATACAATCTGACTGAGAGAAACTGGTGTCAAAGAGCCACACAGACCCCTCAAAAAGTAGTACCTTGTAGATACCCTCTAGACATAACATCTGCCGTCTCGTTTTATTGCTGTTTCTTATTTTATGAATGTATCAATGTATTACTCTCTAATTGTTATAAAGCAAAGAGCTAAAAATAGAAAGAAATGTGCAAAAATTTAATTTTCTTTTTTTTTTTAAATCAGTGACAGGATGAGTTCAGCCATGAAAGTGTGCAATTGTGTTAATGTTCACTTTTTTGCCATGCAGCTCCACAGTTGGCAGCCTGGGATAAAGAACCCCTACAGAGGAACAGTTATTTGGCCTGTTCCAGAAAACGTCGACATCTCTGTTACATTGTTCAAGGTACAGAATTTTAAACAATCCGTTATCAATGGCCGTCTGCTGTGTGCTTACCCAGGTAATAGTTTGTTAATCTAAAGTTTATAATTGATCTGTTTGTTGACTTTTTTTATTTTTTACAGCTAAACTAGGAACCTATTGTTTTTTTCACAAACATATAATGCTGTAACATTGTCATTTTGTCATGTTTGCTGCAGAAAAAAGAGCTTTGGCTTCACCTGATTTTTTATAACTTCAGTTCAGTCTTTGTTATAAAGGAGGAGACGCTGCACGTTGAACCAGATTGCAATTGACAATACTAAAATATAGTTTTTTCTATTAATGCAAAAGGTTCAAGTGCTGTTGAACATGCTAAGGAGCTGCATGTGAAAAGGGAACTAGCATTTTTAACTTAGATAATTAGAAAAAGCAGAAGTGTGTTAAATTGGGCTGCACACCTTTAAAGTTCTGGGTTTGCATTCATTTTACTTAGCGACCAAGATGCAAGGATGCAATACAGCCATGGTTACCTTGTTTGAGATACCCCGACTCATTTTTTCTGCCTGAAAATGGGATGGGATATGGATTAGTGACAAAAGCATCAAAGCGGCTGGAATGACATGACGTTTGCATTTTGAATTCCTATTAGAGTAAAGGAGGAATTAGCTTATTTATATAAAAATGAAAACTAGATTTAAAGGAAATAGGAGTACAATGCTGAGAGGATATTTCATTAAAGACATTTTTCTTGTCCCTCGCTTTAGGAACCTAACACAGATGAGTTTGAGGACAAAGAATGGACATTTGTTCTCGAGGGTGTAAGTATTGCTCTACCTTTTAACCTGCAAATTCACTCAAATTATTGTTTCCTTTGTACTTTTGAAAGGGGTTTCAGTGACCTTTAACCTTGTTTGGTAGCCCTTTAAGTACCTTAATCCGAATCAATATTTCTTTTAAGGACTTTAGCTGCATTTTCACTTTTTATCAGTCCCACTTGGTGCCTGTCCAGGACAGCATACAGTATCTGATACGTGTACTTGAAGGTCAGAATAGTGGTAAGTAGTGGTCAGGGAAAGAATCAGAAAACCAAGATATAAACTGACATATTTTTCCTTTAATGTTTTTTTTAAACAGTTATGTAAAGACCTGGGAACAAACTGTCTGTTTGTAGCAGGATTCCTTTCTCTATTAAATTGCATTAGTGTAGACACAAGAGGGGTTCATCTGTTCATTTATTCCAGCTGATTGGCTTAGATTATAGTAAACCTGTTAAATAAACAAGCAAAAGAACATTCCTCTAAAAGAGGTGGATCCTTGAACTGATAATGCGGATCAACCTGCCAAAGTCTGGAGAAATCTTAAGAAATTAAAGCTACATTGCGTTATTTTTTAGCAATGGTCACTCCCCTCTATCTGTCTAATCCGATACACTGCAAAAAATGGAAATCTAAATAAGTCATTTTCGCTCAAATTAAGTGCATTTTTTCATGAATTGAGGAGGTAAGTGAGACAGTTTGCCAATGGAACAAGACAATTTACATTTAAAATAAGAAAAAAACAATTGCTTTGTCTTATTTCAAGTCTATATTATCTAATTTTCTTATTTTAGGAGTAAAAATATCATCTTATTTACCTACTCAAATTAAGGGTAAAAACACTTAATTTAAGACATTTTTACTTATTTCTAGATGTTTTTTGCAGTGTATTCTGCCGTTCGACCCTCCGTGGTTAGCCTCTAGCTAGCCCGGGTCAGCTGTAGCCTCTTCTGGGCCTTTAGCGCTCAGTTCCCCATTGAGCTGCCACTGTGCTCCTCAGCTCTCTTCCTGAGCTGGCAGCTGAAATCTGCCGCCTCTGCCGCTCCACCCTTAGCCACAGAGGGCGGCATAGCTGGCGGACTCGTGTCGGTTGTGGAGCTCTCTCTCTGGCTGATTCCTCAGTACTCCTGCCTTAGTGCAGGAACACCGTCTCCCCTTACCTCTGTTATCCAAAAAACTCAAAAACCGCCTCTTGTAATCGGTTGTCTTCATAATTAGCAGGCGGTTGGCAGTCGTGACTGATGTACAGTATGTCTACAAATCACTTTATAAATAGTGTTGTATTAGTCTGTTTTGGATTACATGTAGGCCTAACTTGCCACAGTCCCATTCAAGCGTAATAGCTATCTCTACAGTCACTAATTTGTCAGCTCTGCCGTAGAACAAAAGATGTCTGCCTCCACAAATACGAACCCACTCCTATGTAATTAGAAATAGCAATTTCTGAGGCAAGGCAAACATAAACACTGAGACTTTCAGTTTATAGATGATAAAACGAAATATACATATAGATTATAAAGGGGTGAAAGTGGTGTTGGATGCAGGTGTTTGTCCTGAAATCGAAGGGTTGACGGTTCAAGTGAGGGAGATTCGGCTTTCACCGTATTTTTGTCCTGGGGCAAGACACTTCACCCGCATTACCAGCTGATGGTGGTCAGAGGGCCCGGTGTACGGCAGCCTCTCTTCTGTCAGTGAGCCCCAGGCAGCTGTGGCTACGATGTAGTTTGCCACCATCAGTGTGTGAGTTTGTGCCTGAATGGGTGAATGACTGAATGTAATGTAAATTGCTTTGGTCAGGTTTCCTTACTTGGAAAAAAAAGCACAAAATAAGTAGAGACCATATACCATTTATGTCATTAAATCCCAGTAATTCTTACACACTCTACCTTTAAGTGTGGAGATCCAATTTTAGCTCAAGATCGTGGTTTACCTTTACAGCTAAAACTTTCACAATAAGTTTGAGCCTCAGATAAAAATAGAAAGTATAGAACAAATGTAATGATTGTTTCTACTCATTGTTCACAGGAGAACAAAGGTCACCGTAAGGTGTTAGCTTCTGCTGACATCAACCTGAAGCGCTTTGCCAGCCCCACTCCAACGCAGCACGACCTGACTCTAAAGCTGAAGCCACTGTCGGTCAAAGTGGTGGACGCTGAGCTCAAACTGTCACTCTCATGTGTTTTCGTTCGAGAAGGAAAAGCCACGTGAGTTTTTTAAAAATTAGTTCACCCTATTCTACTTTGAAAAAAAGCCCTAAAATAAAAGTATCTTTGAAAGAAGTAGTCGATCCTATATAAAAATACAAAACAACATTAAAATCCATTTATTTTGGACTAAAAAAAGAAATAGCTTCTCTAAATGCTTTCCATTTCCCCAAAAAGTCTTTTGGCATAAAATTTGTCAAAAATTAGGCATATAAAAATCCTAGGATCTCTCTAATTTTCTTTCCACTTTAGTTTTTCCCCAAGATTTTCTTAAAGATTTCAGTTTGTGGGCCAAGACAACATGCCAGGGAGTTTGCTTTTAGCAGAGGCCGGCAACTTGTTTGTTTCAAATGTCCTGGTATTTCAATATGATGCCAATAACAAGGTTTATGGAGCCTTAGGTAAAGAAACTGACCCACAGCATCACAGATCCTTCTTCATGATCCGGAGTCTGAATAACCGCCTTAGTCCTACAATCATACTTTGTTTCATAATTAACCAGTGTGAGTGTTTTTGTCTAATCTTAGCCTAATGTGATCAAAGCACGTAGTTCCAATTAATGCCCTTGTGGCTTTTAGCAAAACTGCAGCTATTTGCATTTGTAACGTTATTGCAGAAAAAGGCATGTTGGCAGCATCTTCCCACACTGCTACATTACTCATACTTCATCCATCCTGTACATTCCTATTAATATACATTTTATTTTCTACTTCTTGTTTTTATATACCTGTAAATATTTTTTCTATTTATATAATTTGATCTTGTAGCTAGTTTTTATATTTTATTTTTTATAGTCGGATGTAACTGGGGCCGTGACTCTCAATTTCGTTCTACCTCATGTAACACGTGATGGGAATGACAATAAAGTCTCTTGAATCCTGAATCTTGAATGTATCTTAATTAAGTGGTTCTGTGAGGGAGACTTAAATATTCTATTATACGGGCATCAACGCCTGTGTGTTGTGTCACTTTATGCATGTTCTCTGGTTTTTCTTATTTTCTGGACAGGTAAGGAAAAATTCCATTAGGAACCAATAGATTTTGAATAAAACATTTTTATAGACACAAAAATAACCCCAAAAAATAGAAAAATAAACGTACAGAAACACTTAGGAAAGTTTATCTTTAATAAAAACCATGGTAGTAAGAATCCAGGGTTATGATTTTTCCTAATACTTATAAGAAGACTTTGCATAGATAAATGTTTGTGTTTTTTAATGTTTGCATTTTATCTGTTTTTATTTTAGTTCACCAAGAGCAAAAGCCAGAACTTGGAGCAAATACATGTTTGCTTTGTTTTGTTGAGACAAAAACTAAGGGGAAAAAGCACCATGTTGTTAATATGTTAGGATTACTGCAGCTACATAATGATTCCATGTCAAAAGCAATGTGGCCTTTCCATCTGGAACATTGTGGTGATAAACCTTTGTATCTGTCACTAAGGGATGAAGACATGCAGAGCCTTGCCAGCCTCATGAGCGTCAAACCCACTGATATAGGCAACCTGGATGACTTCAATGAGAGCGATGAAGAAGAGGACCGGAGGTCTGTCTCCGCTGCAGGTAGGTCAATTTTATCTTGATTTTCTCTGTTATTCATTTATTTCCTCTGATCACACCTCTGAAACACGCTTTTCCTCCTCCGTTTTTCTTTCTCCTCCTCTGCTCATTGCATTAATGGTTCCTGCAGCTGTCCCACACACTCTAACTCGTCCAAACCGTCCCGCTCCCCCTCCTCCTGACACACAAACTTCCTCTGGAGCCATGTTTTCAGCCTTAGGTACCCACTTCTTGCTTTTCCTACTTAATTTTTTTCTTGCAGGTTAAAAGGGGCATGTGCGAAAATACTGTCTGTCTGTATCTGTTGCTAAAGCGCTCAGACTGTATTGCAGTATTTCACACTGTCCTGTTGCTCGCCTTGCTGCTGAAACCCACATACTTTCTCACTTTAACGCTGAAGACAACAGATTCTTACCATCACTGTTCTGTAATACATCTATAAGGATGAAAAGCTTTAGAGACATAAAAAACAGCTCCTTGTTAGCCTTTGCAAATCTAAAGATAAATTGCTGAAACCTTCAAACAGAATATAAAAGCTACGGAAGAGGATTAGGGCCACTGAAAAAAAAAAAAAAAGTTAACTGT